CCTGCAGCAACACTTTGCACCTTGAAAGTGCGAAGTGCATACCAAATAATGGGACCAGTTTAGACAGGCTATTCAGGGTTGATTGTGCCGCCGCAACATAGTCCAAAAGTAAGACCATATCGTTCGCATAATCAAGATCAACTAATCTTTCACCAGACAGCATTTAAACGCCTAGATCGTGAGATTCCGAAAAGAAACACTCCATGATAGAATCCAATACGAAATTGAACAGAAATGGGAAAATCGGACAACTCAGACGAACGCTACTTGTAGTCGGGACGCAATCCAATAGACTACCATAGACACTGACACGGCCTGTAGTGTTCAAATATAGAGCACGAAGGATGTTCACATATTTCGTGTGAACACCTTTCCGTGCAAGTATTTCGAGCAGAACCGATCGATCGACTGAATCGAACGCACTCTTGAAATCGAGGAAAACAGCTATTGTCGGTCTGTCGTATTTGTGGCGCTGTGCTAGCACTTGCCGTAGAGTGAATATATGGTCTATACAACCACTTCCTGAGCGGAAACCGGTCGGCTCTTCCCTAATCCGAGATCCCCGTTCCGCAGTGAGCCGACAAACGAGAATCAAGGCCAGTAATTTTGTCACAACTGCCGCTAGGCTAATACCCATGTGGTTAGAACAGTCTGTGCGACTGCTCTTCTTGTGTACTGATACTATAATCGATTAGCTCCAAGTAGCCGGGACACTCCCTTCCAGATATGTTCGAATAGTGAGGTCAGTGCCTTGCAGAGGACCTCACCTCCACCCTTAAATAGTGCAGATGGAAGGGAATCCGAACCAGCGTCACGAAAACGATTAAGGGCTGTGATCGCGTTTCGGACCTCGCCCCCCGACGGAGGCTCTAAACTAACCGTCCATGGCTCGTCTTGCATCACATGAGTAGGAAGGAGTCCGGGAGCAGGGGGCTAGCTGAATTGACCTTTAAAGTGTTCCGTTCAACGAGCCATACAGCGTTCCTTAGTGTGTATCAGTGCACTCGTGCTGTCTCTGATTGTCTCACAGACGCCAGGTTTTCTGGAACCAGTGATGTGGGTCAGCTGGAAGAGCTTGCGGTAATTGCCTACTGCTCCTGCCTCCTCCATTTCTTGAGCCGTACTGGTCCAACAGGCTTCCTTGTCAACACGTAGGCTCCGATTTACTTCGCGCCTAATAGCCCGTCTGGTCACATTGTGTTCCGAGCTAGCCGGGAGTTTTCTTCTGAATTCCAACAGGTTCACTGACCTCTCGGATATCCAGTGATTAGTGCGGTGACGATGGATAGTGCCACAAGCAGGTGCTCCTGCGTCGTGCATGGCGGTCGACATCCTATTCCACTGAACCTCAGTGCCATTAGGACAAGACAGCGAAAGTTCGGTACGCAGTGCGTCTTAACAGGCTTGTCTGACCGAGGGCTGAGACAATTTCTCAGTTGCGAATAGGCGGGGACGCTTGGTGTGCCTCCCGGTAAAGTTCATCGAGAAACGACAGCTTACCAAGGCATGATCAGAGTCGACGCAGGTACTCCAGTATGAGCGGCAATCCAGGATGGAACAACGCCACCTGTAACTTATGGCTATGTGGTCAATTTGAGTCCATTGCTGGCCAGCTACAGGAGGACGCCAAGTAGCACTTCGGCGCCCACTGTGTCTAAAAGCAGTGCTAGTAAGAAACAACTGGTGCTCCGCACACAGTTGCAGCAGACGCCCACTGTTGTCAGTCCATTCGGAGTTAAGCCCTTAATTACCATCTAGCTGAGCTTCTGAAGAGCCCATACGCCCTACTTGTGCGTTCATATCCCCTGCAAGTACTATAATAGCTGAACAATAACACTGCGTAGTAGCGCGTTCAGTTTGTGCTAGATTTGTAGTCGGTGGGAGTATAAATGGAAATCACAAACAAACAGCGTTTTGCATTGCTTCGTGAATCCACCTTAGCTGATGTCGTCAAACGGGCTGCACATAAAGGGCTGTTCACCGGAATCCAATCAACCAAAGACGGCTCAGCTTTGAGCTTAGAATGATACCTACACCAGCTTGACTCGTGAGTGCTGCATCGGCGTCTCCGGATGCGTGCAACCAATAACGCGAGGACAAACCGGGTGCAGTTAATTCAACAACCCCGTTAGGTTCAATGACCCTAGTTCCAGATACACAACACATCGACACCCAGTGTGTCCAAGGTGCGTGCGAGTGCAGCCTGTTGATCTGTTTGCCTTAGAGTGCGAACGTTGAACGTCGCCATGGAAACGAGATAGCGTGGCCTTATAAGGGACTGTTGCCGATCGGCGTCCGATAGTTGCTGTGGGATGGTGGCTGCAGATGGTTCTACTCCAGTGGCAATTCGGTTGCTGTCAATTAACCTGGAAGGTTAGTAATGGGGGTAGGGATGGGAGTAAGAGAAACAGGTGGAAAAGAAAGAAGGGAGGCGCCAGCAGTAGCATGTTTTCGCTTATACGCCCCGTTGTACGCAGCAGATAAGGCGACCCTTAATAATCTGCGCGACGGCTGATGCAGGATGAAGTTTATGTTTGAAGAAAGTCATGGCTGTATGTGGGCTGAGGTACTGCCTGGGCGCCCAAACCTAGATAGGGGGCACACAAACCATCGCATCACGTTAAGGTTCAGTCTCGTCTCGATAGACTTACGGATGTACGCAGGAGTGACCGATAAACTGCCGTTGAGTGAGTTGCGCGCCCCTGAACGTCCCGTCGAGACAAGTCTGTTTCCGGAAAGAATTTTTAACACAGTCCTAATCCATCCAGTGAGCGAATTAACCCAGACTATAAATACTGCCCGTGCTCAATGTAGATGGATTTCCATATGCAATACTGCGTAGCTAGGGCTACAATCGAAAATCTTTAACCGTCTGGTTGATGTCCGAATCTTGCCTCGTGGAAAGTGTTGCGGGCATATAAGCCGAGCACGCACTATAAGTGGGTATGCGAGTAAAATGGAAAGAAATGTTTGTATCTTCGTTCGGCTCCATCTGCAATATGGCGTCCAGGCTTGCCCGCCCTGCCTCGTTCGGGACAAAATGAAGATCGAGAGGGTTTTGCAAGTAAGTACCAATTTGGTCGAGTAGTTATGGGAGCAAACGTACCCAAAGCGTTTGCTTATCTTAGATATGTATTCAATGCACTACCGACGGTTTTGAGGAGACCTGGTCCTCACTTACCGTAGATTAATTTGGAAGGTGGAATCGGAGTTGAGCTGGCTATTTAGCCAGGCTAGTTTATCTTATCTTCGCGGTCACTCCATGGAGCTACACAAACCGCTTTCAAATGAGATCAGGGCGAAAAGTCGGTTATCGCGTAGCCATTGAGCGCCGGAACGTGCTTCAAGGAAGTGTAATTAGTGAACCTACAGTTGAGAGCTTTTGGAGACAGTTAGATGCTCTTAGGTGGCAACACGAAGCCTTTATTAATCTTCCTACTTTGATTCCATGTCCTGCGCTGCTCTTAACTTGTTGCTATCATCCTACATTTAGGTGGTTTTCATACCGCTTATCTTCCCATCTCTTTATTACTGCACGGGACCGGCAAAACCGACACTGCTAATGCAGCAAAGGTAGGCAGTAATTGCTAATGTTGCATTCAGGATGCTTCTTCACTGCAGTTGGGCTAAACCAACCTAAACTAGGTCTTTTTAAGCTGGATAAATTTCATTCCACTTTATTTGGTTTGTTCTGCCTATCTGAATAGTCTTCTATTAACTGGCCACGTTGCTTACGCTGATTGCGCTTATCTTCGGTAACTTTGTTGCGTTTGCAGCATTTTTAAGTAACCTGTAGATATATTTTACTTATCGCGGATTCGTTGCTAACCAACTTACTTCATATGCTAATTTAACGAAGAGTTATGCCACCGCACCTATATGCATCATTCGATTTATTTTATTTCATCTTGTCGTTTCAAGTGATTGGCTGTTGTTTGACATCCCAGGGATGGCTGAATGTTGACAAGGTGCCTACCTGTCTATTACCCACTACCTCGTCCATACTGGCTCCAGGAGACAGTTGGTCGTTGCTGGAGGGGACGGGATGCACGGTCCTTGTGGCCATGTTAGGCTCGAAGAGTGGTTCCATGCACTCTGTGGAGCGGACTACGGTCCAGCTACCTCCTTGTGTGCACTTGATTCCCCAAATACAGCGTGCTTGTGTTTACTTGTGAAGGAGTGTGGGCCGGCTCCGTTGATGAAACGTGGCTCCCATCCCCATGCCTCCCGGTCTTATTCCTTCGGGTTTACACTGGATATATGGTGTGTGGATGGAGCTGTGGGTGGTGCAGCGCAAGCCATCCATGGTCCCTCTGTAGGCGCAGGCGTCCCATGACTGGCCACATTGACAGGCAAATCGGAAACCGAATGCCGCCAATCATATATATATATATATATATATATATATATATATATATATATATGGAATTAAGTAGGAAGAGTGATATAGTCAAGGTAAAGGAAAGGTTTTGTGTTGTCACGGAAGAGCATCTTACTGGCGCCCAAAACCCTTAACTGTAACTTCACTGATTACACTGATGTGTGTGTAGATACATATATTAGCAAGTCTATAAAATAGACATCGAGACATTAGTAGATGGTTAACCAGAATATTTCGTCCTAAATCCAAAAAGACCTCAATGCACCTCATAAATTCCTGTCTCAACGATCCGCTCAAGAAGGAAGATTCAAAGGGATTTCCTATCGTTCCAGTCTAACCTGAACTTGAAGCTGGACGGGGAAGCTAACGATGCTTTATTTCACGTAACATCATTTTCAGACAGGGCATTACATTTAGTTTTCTTTGTAATTTTGCGGGTGATAAAAGATGGGTCGAAAAGTGGAAAGTCGGCTATTAAAAGATGTCAAGAGAATGCAGTGTGTAAAAGAAACAAACGTTACAACGACATAAGTCTAGAAACAACCTAATATGGAAAAGAAAGCATGAATTGTATAGCAAAGTAGTGACACCATGATGAAATCTACTTAAGACACCTTACCTTAGACGTCGGTGAAATTCGCAAACGCATCTCCGCTCCAGACCTTGCATGGAAAATATCCGCTGAGAGACGATACGCTTTTAGTCCCACTTGCCCACGAGTGGTACGTGCCGGATCGTAAGTCAAAAGGATCGATTCCGGAAGACTCATCTGGCACTGGTAAAAGTTGTCTAAATTTGCTCTGTTAATTGAGATGCCTCCAGGTCCGCTTTGATAAAATCCAACGTTAAGATAATCGATGTTCAACTGGGAGATAACAAAAAGAAAATCTCACCTGTCTGAGGTTTTTAATCATGCTGACTTCAAAACTGTTCAATAATTCATTTGCATTTGGATCGTCTTCTTGCACTTTGGGCAAAAGAAAGCAATTCGTGACTTCCAGAACACGACCTTTCAATAAACCAAGCAGAATCCCGCTAACGGAGTTCTGGCTTGATATTGCTTCATCTTGATATTGTTTTATTAGTTTGAGGAGTACCAAGCCCTCTAACCGAACGCAATCCACTGCCACATCATTCATCGCAATATACACGGTGCGAGTGAACTAGCAAGACTGAAAACAGAGGTGATGCTTCGGCTGAGAACGTTGTGCAATAGGCGTCCGGTCGTGGGTTCAGAGAGCTACCGTGTCAGGTCGTATTAGACCGAGGGGCTGAAAGGTAAATAAGATAGTTCGTAGGCGGCTGGAATACCACCTAGTAAGTGCCGGAGCTGGATGGATGGTGTGCTTGTGTCACATCTCGTGGCTAGCTGGGCGTTATTGTCACAGCTGCCGAAAAAAGACCGAGCGTGAGGCGACTAGATAGAGGGCGTGAAAGCATATGATGATTGGTTAATACAACGCTGAAGGCGAAATGGGAAAGCAAAGAGAAGAAAAAACGACGCTCACAATAAAAACTACGCTCGACGACACCTTACTTGTTAGCTTGCTACGGAGAAAGTGGCGCGCTATACGTTCACTGAGTTTGAGAGAGCAGGAGGGAAATCTCTTGTAAGCCCCATCGATTCCGTATCACACTGGGTTTAATGCGTGTCGTTGCGTTACGACGTTCCTCGAGGGTTCATCGCAATTGCAGTGACAGTCGCAAGATTCCAGCATTCTCAGCGAATGTTTGTCTAGCAGTAGCTTGAAACTTTCCTCGGATGGCAAGTCTGCAATTGCTTCCGGTAGTCAGTTCTAACCATTTATCACTCTAGTGGATAGGGTGACGTCCATGCGAATTCTATCTTCTTTGCTTAAATACTTTCCATGTGTGACCTCGTGTGGAACAGCCAGTGTTGGGTAAGAAGAATAGTTGTAACATTTCCAAGTTCGCCTCGGAGGAGGCGCCTAGTGTAGGTTAGATCACCCCGGCGACGGTGGAGCTCCAGGGAGAACAGATTTAGCTGCTAGAGTCAAATGGGTTACGGGAGATCACCAAGCCCCAGAACAGCTTTCGAGGTACGTCTCTGAACCTTTTCCATCAGAGCGCATTCAAACCTTGAAGCGGATGGATATCTGGAAGGCTATAGTCTAAGACTGGACGGACAAAGGTCAGAAGATTTTAGGAGTCATTCGAGCGAAAGATGTTAAGGTACCCACCAATCTCATTCCAAAAAAACACTTTCTTCAACGTCTCCTGCATCAGAAGTCACTACAACGCCGAGATCTCTTACGTAAGTAGTATTCCTGAGAAGAAACCCACCAATATGGTATGCACCGTAAGGTTGTGCTACCCATTGGGAAAACAGCGCATTTATCTCGGTCTACTGGCCATTCCCACTTGATGGACCACTCGTGTAGCTGGTCTAGAGCCCCTTGTAATCTGTCCACATCCTCAAGGCTGGATACTGTTGGCCATAGCTTGAAGTCATCGGCATAGGTCAAGCAGTCGGTTTGAAGTGCAGTCGGCAGATCGCTAATGTACAGTTTGAAGTGCTCTGGTCCAAGCAATGATCCTTGGGGAATGCCACTAGTCATAGGCACAGGAGAAGAGAGGGTTTGGTTCACTTGTACGCGCATTGTCCTACTTCTTAAGAAATCGGCAATCCAGAAGAGAATACTTCCTGTGCTGTCAATTCCCTGAAGTTTATGTATCAGTCGTACGTGTGGAACTTTATCAAAGGCTTTACTGAAGTCAATGAATATTACGTTAACCTGTTTTCGGACATCTATGGCTTCTGCCCATGTTTCCCTGGCGATAAGCAAGTTACAGATGCATGAGCGTGCTCTCCGGAAGCCATGTTGAGAGGGTGAGATTATGTTTAGGTTCACACAGTGCAGCACTTGAGTATTCGCAATGAGGCTGGACCTTACCGTGGTGCGATGGTTTGTGTGCCTCAGCGATCCATTGAGCTATGCTGGGTGGTGCCTTTTTTGCATCTTCAGAGCCACTCATCCCAGATTGGTCAATAGTTAGAGGCTAGACAAACTAAGCCTCCTGGTCCTCCGGGTTGGGGGTTGGAATGAGGGTAGCACCTTATTCCTTAAAACTGACTCCTTGTAGCCCAACGCCAAACCCGATGCCTTGTGGTCAGGTTTTTGCACCAAAGGCCTTGGTTGAGAACCCTAATCGTTCTCCTGTCTAGGCCTGGGCTACCTGACAGTATCTTGCCCACGCAATACTATGAATTTCTCTTCAAACAGCTTCTTGATGCTCTGGCCACCGCAGAGGATAATCAACGATGCCCTATCTGCTGCATCGAGCAGGGTGGATAGGGGTTTGGATGCTACTGCTCAAGCCTACCCATCTTCTTATTCCCCCTCTTACGATTTTCTCTCTTACCGTCCCGTTCCAGCTTCACTTTTATCCCTCCTGTTTCCAACCCCCCAAGTCTTGGCCCTCCCCACCTTGCTCTGCTAGGCATTTACCTTCTAGTTTCAACTCAAATGTGAACGCGGAGCGCCATTCCTGTCCTGTCGACAAGCCCATGTCCAACGAAGCGGCCAAGCCCAGTTCATCGACTTCCATTTGGAGCCCTCGATCATCCTTCAGATTGGCATGTCTCAATGTACGCACATTGCTACAGATCGGTCAACAGGCAGCACTTGCCCGAACATTAGAGACCCTCACGATCGATATCTGCTGCTTATCGGAGACCCGCCTGCAAGACTCGAGCTCTGTGCTCAGTTTGCGATCCCCTTCAGGTGATACTAGCAGCACTTTCTCATTGCGCCTTTCCGGTGATAATGCAGCTTCGAGCGCCGGCCAAGCTGGTATTGGTATCGCCCTGAGTCCCCGGGCTGAAGCTGCTCTGGTTGATTGGATTCCAATCAGTAGCCGGATGTGTGCTGTCCGATTGACTGGCTCGTTCAAAGCTTCGAAGTCGCGCGGGGCCAATAAGTGTCTATTTGTCATCGCTGCTTAGGCACCCACAAACTGTAGCGATGATTCTGTAAAAGACAATTTCTATCGTCACCTGAACGAGCTCCTTAGCGACAGAAGAAGCTCGGACACTGTAGTGCTCGCTGGGGATCTGAACGCTCAAGTTGGAAAATTATCCTTTGATGAAATGCGTCTGGGCGGTCAGCACGGTTTAGGCTCCCATAATGATACCGGAGAACGGTTACTTCATTTGTGTGAGGATGTTCGCTTATTTCTCGTGAGCGCTAATTTCAGACACAGCACCCGCCGAAGGGTGACTTGGCGCCCACCATCCTCGAACCAGCTATGGACGGAAATCGATCACATTGCGATAAGTTACCGATGGAGAGGCTGCGTCCAGAATTGTCACTCGATTTGGAGCACAGGTGTGGACACCGACCATGTACTTGTATGTGCTGACCTGCGGATGCGTTTTAGCAGACGCCCACGAAGACGATGTGAGCGCATTGACACCAGCCAATTGGCCAAGCCAGCTGTTCTGAATGCCTATCAAAGTACGCTGTAATGCGAGTTGAGTAAGCGCTCACTGGATGCAGTTAAAGCTCACTGGTCTCATATTCACCAATCCCTACTAGCAGCAGGATAATCCTCATGTGATAAATCTAATCGTCAACATGGACATTGGGTCTCTTCGCATTCTCTGGAACTTATCGATACTCGCCGGCATATTCCGGCTGGAAGCGAACACAATGAAACTTGCACAGAGCTTCGGACAAAACTACGTGCTAGGCTGAAGAGAGACCGTGAATCCTGGTGGTCTCATGGTGCATCAGAGATGGAAATGGCCGCTGCCCTTGGTAACCATCGTAAGTTAATCCGGCTGATACGGGAAACGGGCAGCCGGTGATCTGGTGTTAGTGAAACTATACTTGACGAGAGTTGACAGCCTATCCACAACTTGTCAAAACGCTTGAAGCGTTGGGCTGAGCACTTTGAAAGGCAATTTAATCGGTCGGAATTGTTAGATTACTCGCCGGCAATTGATCACCCTTCTCTCTGAGCTGTCACTTTGGATCCACCCTCTCGCTCAGAAGCCGAACGTAATATCGGACTGTTGGAGTTGAATAAAGCCGCAGGACCAGATGATTTTCCTCCAGCCCTCTTCAAATTCGGGGGACCTGCTCTTGTGGATGATTTATACGAGTTACTAGTGAAACTGTGGGAGCAGAAAACGGTCCCAATCGACTGATGCTGCTCCGTAATAGTCCCAATTTTCAAGGGACGCTCACCATCGGAAGGCGGCAACCACAGAGGAATCAGTCTGCTCTCCCTCGCCTCCAAATTGCTTGCCTCTGTCATCTTTCACTGACTGACTGCCACTTAACAAAACCATATTCGTGAAGAGCAAGCAGGGTTTCGTCGAGGTCTCGGCTGCATGGGCCACATCTTCACCTTGCGTCAGTTGTTGGAGCACCGCCACAAATATTGGCGGTCCACCGTTGTCGTGTTCCTCGATATCAAAGGTGCATTCGATTCGGTGAATAGACTTGCACTTTGGGACTGTCTACTCAGGAAAGGTGTTCCCGAGAAATATGTAAATATTATACGAGCATTATACGCGCGTAGCTCAGGAAGAGTTAGGGCTTACGGTAAGCTGTCGCCGCCCTTCAATATCTAGAGCGGTGTGATACAAGGATGCCCGTTGTCACCTTACCTCTTCAAGTTCGCTATTGACGAAGTCATTGAAATCGCGCTCACAAGACACGACTTAGAAGCTGTGGATCTGCTCCCAGGAGAACATCTTCACTTGGAGTATGCTGACGGTATTGCCCTAATCTGTGACAGCTCCCAGATGTGCCAAGCTGCATTGGACAGATTAGCATTGGCTGTCACTCGCTTCGGGCTTTGCTTTGCACCATCGAAGTGCAACGCGTTCCTCCCTATCTGCTGCATCGAGCAGGGTGGATAGGGGTAAGGATGCTACTGCTCAGGCCTTCCCGTCTTCTTATACCCCTTCTTGCGCTTTTTTATCCTTATCGTCCCGCTCCAACTTTATTTACATCTCCCCCCATTTTCAATCCCCCAATTCTTGGCCCTCCCCCAGCTTACTTTAGTAGTCGCTTGTCTTTTAATTTCAAATCACACAAAATCGCAGGGCCTCGATCCAATCCAGTCGACAAGTCCATGTTCAACCAAGCGGACAACGTCAGTTCATCCGTTTCCCTTTGGAGTCCTCGTGTCTCGCTAAGATTGGCATGCCTCAACGTGCGCACCTTGCTGCAGATTGGCCAACAGGCAGCACTTGCCCGCACACTAGAGACCCTGTCGATTGATACTTGCTGTTTATC